GACATGTTTAGCCACTGGAGTGTTGGGACAGGGCAGTGACAGATGTGGCTGCAGTGTTGGGACAGGGCAGTGACAGATGTGGCTGCAGTGTTGGGACAGGGCAGTGACAGATGTGGCTGCTGTGTTGGGACAGGGCAGTGACAGATGTGGCTGCAGTGTTGGGACAGGGCGGTGACAGATGTGGCTGCAGTGTTGGGACAGGGCGGTGACAGATGTGGCTGCAGTGTTGGGACAGGGCGGTGACAGATGTGGCTGCAGTGTTGGGACAGGGCGGTGACAGATGTGGCTGCAGTGTTGGGACAGGGCGGTGACAGATGTGGCTGCAGTGTTGGGACAGGGCGGTGACAGATGTGGCTGCAGTGTTGGGACAGGGCGGTGACAGATGTGGCTGCAGTGTTGGGACAGGGCGATGACAGATGTGGCTGCAGTGTTGGGACAGGGCGGTGACAGATGTGGCTGCAGTGTTGGGACAGGGCGGTGACAGATGTGGCTGCAGTGTTGGGACAGGGCGGTGACAGATGTGGCTGCAGTGTTGGGACAGGGCGGTGACAGATGTGGCTGCAGTGTTGGGACAGGGCGGTGACAGATGTGGCTGCAGTGTTGGGACAGGGCGGTGACAGATGTGGCTGCAGTGTTGGGACAGGGCGGTGACAGATGTGGCTGCTGTGTTGGGACAGGGCGGTGACAGATGTGGCTGCAGTGTTGGGACAGGACAGTGACAGATGTGGCTGCAGTGTTGGGACAGGGCAGTGACAGATGTGGCTGCTGTGTTGGGACAGGGCAGTGACAGATCTGGCTGCTGTGTTGGGACAGGGCAGTGACAGATGTGGCTGCTGTGTTGGGACAGGGCAGTGACAGATCTGGCTGCAGTGTAAGAACAGACTGCCGGGTGCAGGGCAGAAGCAGGGAGCCCAAGGAGTGCTATGCAGGGACCCTACAGGGGAGGGAAGCAGGCTGGCCTGAGCAGTGTGGTCCTGTGGGGCAGGGATGTGGCCGGAGGATGTGAAGGGAAGAGCCGACAGGCCCGAGGGGGCGGTGACAGCAGGATCAGAAATGAGGGCTTGGGTGGCAGTCTGTTGTGGACACCTGTAAGGAGTCAGCACATGGCTGACCGTGGCCACCAGCTACTGGTGCTCCCAGCACAGTGCCCGCCGGCTGCTGCACTCTTGGTAACTGAGTGGGGTGGTCAAGGAGGTTCTCAGTGCAGGAAGACCCTGGCCAGTCCTCTGCAATCCCTTCTAAGCTGCCCCCTGGAACTTAACCATGCTAACCGCCTCTCTGAGGACCCCTCTACCCGTCACACGGGCGTGGTGTATCCGTGGCCACAGAGCAGCAAATCCCTCTGGGCCTGGCTCCAACCCTTCACCTGGGCACCACTGATTTTTCACTAAGAATCAGCATCATTTGCCCCTCCAAGTGCTTCCCAGGAACAGCAAAGGCTCTTCTCAACTCTCCCCAGCACACGCTCCCAACTACCCTCTGCCCCAAACAGCCTTTACTCTAGGCCAGAACTTCTCACAGGGGCTGTGGCGCCCTGGAAGGGCTGGGATCCGCCTCAGTGGACTCATGCCGGGACCCAGTACTCAAGCAGCCTGCCTTCTTCTGTCCTCCAGGCCGCCCCGCCTCCTATCCTGTCCACTCCTCTTCCTTCAAGGCCCCACATAAGCTACACCGACTCCAGAGGGAGCACGGCTGGGGCCACCTCCCCTGCTAGACCAAAGCTCCTGGAGGGCAGGGGCCTGACCACACGGCTGCCAAACGAGCAGAGTGGGCACCATGATGTGATGCATCAGGCGTGCATGACAGTGGCATCTGGGCATGGTGTGGGAACATCACCTCTGTCCGAGAGTGTGTAGCACACTGGCTGTGCACCCTGGAGCCAGCTGGGTCCTTTCTCCCCATTTACGGCTGGGCAAGCTGGGGAGGAGTATGTTGTGGGCTGAGCCCTCCCATCTGTACAGTGGAACGAGTGAGGGGCCTCACGTGATACAAAGTGGGGTCTCTAGGAGCTGGCAGGTAGACAGCAGGGGCCACAGGCCCCACCGACTGCCCCTTAGGCCCTACCCAGGTGGATGCCCTCCAGCAGGTGGTGGGTCACAAACTCCACCCTCAAAAGTGCTGACACAGAGTCCTCTTGTGCAAATATAAAGAGGTTTATTCATTCTGTCATTAGGAGTACAAAATAGAACATGTAAAAGGCACCCCTCCCGCTCACCCCACAGTTCAGTGTGAACACCGAGCGTGCGTCCAGGGAAGGCTGCCGTGCATGGCGTGGCTCTCAGTGAGGGCAGCCGGCTTGAGCCAGCTTTAGGTCTCGAACATGGCACAGCTGGTGCACAGCACTTTCTCATACACGTCACTGCAGCTGCGATAGCACCAGGGCGGGGAGAGAAAAGCTGCTGTCAGGGGCTGAGTTGTGTCCACCCCCCACTCCATTCAGACATCAAAGTCCTAACCCAGGACTCCTCAGGACGTGACCTTGTCTGGTGACAGGACCACCACAGGCCTAATCCATCTAGATGATGGCGCTGACACAGGGGCCCTAATGCAACAAGACCAGCGTCCTAAAAACACTACCATGTGAAAAGAAAGACAGAGAAGGACGACGACACGGTGATAGCAGGGGGCCGGGGGCTGTCTACAGGGAACACTGAAGACAAGCAGCAGACGCCAGGAGACAGGACCGGGACAGGTTTCCCGCTGCAGCCTCAGGAGCCAGCCCTGCCAACACCTTCCTCTCAGACCTCTGGTCTCCAAAACCGTGTGATAGCGCCTCTCTGCTGTCTAAGCCACCCGTTCTGTGGAACTCAGTTACAGCAGCCCTAGCTGATTCCACTGCTGATGAACCCATAAGGAGCCCAACCTCGGTTTCCAGGAGGACAGAAGCTCTCCAAAGAAACCTCCAGATGACCACTGAAGCACATCAAACAGTGCTTTCTTCTGATGCATCAAGACTCTAAGGGTAGGGCTGGGCATGGTAGCTCATACCTATAACCTCATCACTGGGAGGCCGAAGCAGGAGGATCACCTGAGGTCGGGAGTTCCCTGGCCAACAAGGGGAAACCCCATCTCTACTAAAAATACAAAAATTAGCTGGGCATGGTGGTGTGTGCCTGTAATCCCAGCTACTTGGAAGGCTGAGATGGGAGAATCACCTGAACCTGGGAGGTGGAGGTTGCAGTGAGCTGAGACTGCACCACTGCACTCCAGCCTGAGTGACAAAGTGAGACTGTGTCTCAAAAAAAAAAAAAAAAAGCTCTAAGGGTAAAGGCTACAGAACCCCACACAGCACAGGGAGAAACTGACTAGGAGAGACGCCTCGAGGAAACAAGATTGGCAATGGCTACCTCAAATACAAAAGGACCATGTAGTCAGCAAGGCAGCCAGAACTGCTGCCACCTGGTGTTGCAGAGTTTGCCAGCAGTGCTATGTGTGAGCCGTGAGGACAGCCCCTCCCTGCCACCAGCAGCCAGCTGGAGAGCCCTGCAGAGGACAGGTCAGGCATGGGCCAGTGCAGGTGGGATGCTGATGGCTGCTGGGCTGCGTCTGTGTTAAGCCAGAGCCATGTGAACAGATCCTTGTTTTCTGCCACTCACGTGACTCCTGGTCCTGAACCAGAAGATGGCAGGAGAGTAGGTACAAGACTGAGGGTGTCACGGGCCAGGAGCCGGACCTGGGAATGCCACTTCCGGCTTGTGACCTGGAACAAGTGATTTATTCGTGAAAGCAGGCAGAGCCCACCTCCTGTGCTGTGGCTGGGATAAAGGAGTGCGTCCACGGTGGGGACAGTGGGCCACTCAGACAGCTCATCATGAACTCTGCGGGTATGAGGGGAAGAAAGCAGCAGAACGTAGGCACAGGCCAGAGAAAACAGGCACGAGGGAGTCCCTCAAGGGTGGTGTGCAGGGCAAGAGGGAGTCCAGCCACATGGGGCTCTGGGACCCCCCTCTCCGCTGAACTGTCCATGCTGTGTTCAGTTCCGCCTTGGTGAGAGGGCCACCAGACACTCAGAAGACCCTGCCCTTTTCAGTTTACACAGAAGTAGAAAAGAAGGGGAATTCAGTGGGTGAAAGGCAAAGACAGAGTATCCCACATCCCTAGCTAGCCCGGCAGATGATTCCCAACCTGGATGGGAACGTTCCCCACTCCTGTCCATACTGAAGCCCTGGGAACTGACCACAGGCATGCGGTGCTTCTCCCTAGTGCTGCTCACCCCTGCCCAGGGCTCTCTGTCTCCAGTGAGTCTGGGCCTCAGCCCCAACTGCAGAAAGGCTCAAGAGAAAGAACTCAAGATGTGACATGTGGTTTCTATTTAGATGGACAATTTCAGACACTGTTGGGACTAATCTTGCTTTGGGTCTACAGAGCCAGTTCCACATGTGTCTGGATGAAGTAATCTTTCTCATGGGGCAGGGCAAACAGGTTCCCACTGTCCACTCCCACCTACCAGCTGAGTAGCCCGGGGGTAAGAACGCCCCTCCCCACCTTAGGAGTAAGGACGGGATCCAGCCAGCTGCAGCAAACCCACCCACAAATGGGAGACTATGCAAACACTCCACTTCCTGCCTGAGAGCAGCCAAACAGCACACGTGACTGTGGTGAGCGACAGTGTGTACCTGCTGTCACCAACCAGGGATTCCGTGGACAGTGAGCCATTATTCAGGAAGAATGCCTATGAGAAAGTGCTGGCTTGCTAAGTCCTAACGGGGTACCAGGAGGCAGCTTAAAGACCAGGACAGGAAGTGGCTGAAGACAGGGACCAGAGCCAGATACAGAGCAGGTCCTCTGTGAGGTTTGGCTTTCCCTTAGAGAGGATTACTAACCACTAGAGTTGGGCCAAGCATCTATTGCCACCATGTCCTGTTAGGCAATGCCCGATGGCACTGGGTCAGGGGCCAAACATGTGGGTGCTCTGGGCCCTTCCCCACATGGTTGACCCACTCGCTCCGTCATGGCTGGGGCTACAGGATCTCAGCAGCTCCAGGGACTGAAGTACTTACTCCACGAGGCCACACAGGGTACAGGCCACAGCGCCACAGCCCCAGCAGGTGCGCACACACCGCCCACACAGGGCTCGCTCACACTGGCCGCAGATCGCCTTCCCATCCACGGCTCGCACACATGAGGAGCAGGCAATGGACGCTACCCCGGATGGGTCTGTGAGGATGAAACGCCATGCTGTCAGCCTGGAAGGAGACTGGAGATTCCAGGACTGCAGGGCTACCGGCCTCCCCGCACACCTGAGGGCAGAGGGCTCCGACCCGCCTACCCTATCCCCACCTACACTAGATCCTTCCGACAACCCATGAGCCTGGTACAGCACACAGGACCCCCATTTTACTAGAGAGAGATCCACAGTGAGAGATGCCTGTAGGTGACTCCAAGTTCAGTGCTCCTTCCCTTACCAGGTCCCTCTGCTACCTGGAGAGGCCAGTGCTGGAGGGATCACTCTTCCCCTGTTCTTGTCAGAACGCCATGTATCCCATCTGGGTCTCAGTGTGGCCCACTGCCTCGCTGGTTAACAAAGAGGTGCCTGGGCTCCTCCCAGACACACCAAGCAGACTTGTGGGCAGGGTCGGGGACTGCCTTTCTAACAGGCAACACAGGTGATGGTGTGAGACCCACACTGCACAGGGATGGGACCGCTGTGCTTCCAGCCATTTGGGACTGTCTGAGAGGGCTGCAGGCAAAAGCAGACGCGACACCCGGGGAGCCTGCTGCTTTTCTGGTCCACTAGTTAGAAGCTGTTTAACAACTTCCCGTCTTGGATGGGAAACCTCCCGAGCCAGAAGGCCAAGCTCTGGGTGAGACTCCTGCTTGCCCAGGGAGGAAAAGCCCGAGCTTGCAAATAAAGAAAAAATGCTTGTGCTGCCACCTGCCACTCACCAGCTTCAGAGGCCTGCCCAAGGCTCCTGATCAGGCGACCATCTGGTCCAATCAGCATCTGCCCACGTGCAGCCCTCGGGACCTCTGTAGGGCCAGGCTTTGGGGACTCTGGTAGGTGAACGACGGCGCAGCCTTCATCCCATACACGGTCCAGGTAGGCCTGGGCCCCGAGGAAGAGCAGTCGCTTGGTCTTCTCTGGGGGAAGACAAATCATTCTCATGTTCTTCACTGTATACCAACGGAGCCTCTGCATGGCCGCTGAGTCTTTTCAGCCTCTCATGGACCCCTTGGTCCTACTGTGTGCCCTCTGTCACCCAGTAATGCATGCTGTGTCCTGGTAAGCTGGGTCTTGCTCTGCCTCTACACTGAGACGCTCGTGCCTCCCTTCCTTACCTGGCTTAGCTGTCATCTACTCCAGAAGACTCTGCCCTGCGGCCCCACCTGTGTCTGAGGCAGGGGTTCCCTCTTCTACTGCTCTGCTCATTTTCTGCAATCCACAGCCGGCCTTGCCTCACTGAGCGTGTTCCCCTTTCTCCCTTTCCTATTTCCCAGCACTCCCCACCCAGAAAGCAGTCTCTGTGGAATGCACAGAGGAAGCTCTGCACTGTGGAACACTAATTCACAAATCTCGCCCCTGCCTAGGAAGCAGCCAGAGGCTCGGAGCTGGGCCTGCAGCCTCCAGCCAGCGCACACCCCCTTCACCTGCTACAGACTTGCTGGCAAGACAAGCGTCCCAGAACCTTGCAGACCTCTTGGTGTAGAACACACACCATCCCTGGGAGCTGAAGGGCCTGCTCAGGACCCAGAGCAGTGGTTTTCCATCAGGCTCGGTCACCTCAGGAGCTTTGGAAACTAGACCCAGAGACGCTTTGTGTTTTCCACCTCATCGTAACACAGTTAAAGGTAGAGATCCCAGAAACTCCGCGTGGTTCTACATGAAATCGGCAGCCGTAACAGGGACAGGGTAACTCAAACGGAGTGGCTGATGACAGCCCACAGCACCCAGCACCTCCTCCTCCTGGCCCCCCACACCTTTCCTATCCATAATGAGAAGGGAACGGGATTGACACACAGTTCAAAGTACGTGTCCTGCACTTACCATGGAAGGCTCACTGCACCCACCCGTGAGTGGGTCGGGTTAGGGAGGGCTAACATCTGCCAGTGTCAGGGCACTCGGGAGAGTAAAGAGCTAGCCTGACCCAGGCCCCATTTCCATCTTCCTCTTGCCTGCACAGTCTGAATTTTTCAGCTCTCCGGAGAGAGGGCACGCGCTTGCGGTCCAGCCACGTTCCCACCGCGTCGCTCCCCGTACCCCGGCAGGACCGGAGACAGCACCCGCATTCACAGCCGCAGCACACCGGAGCCTCAGGAGGGGAAGCCTTTCCCTCACCCGCAAGGCACAAGCAGCACCACGGAAATCACACACCTCGGTCACTCTCTAACTGCTCTACAGGGCAGACCTTGCGCCCCAACCACTAGGCGAGGTGAGCGCCACTTCCTACCTGCCCCGGCGTATTCATCGCCCTAGTGATTAGTGATCACTGACGATTACGATCATTTTTCCTGATGATCGAGAACGCCTTGAACACGCCTGAAATGTACAGGACAAAGCCAGGGAAGGCCTCGCATCCGCCCGGCGCTGGACATGCAGCCACACGGAGTCCTGCCTCGCTCCGCCTGGGCTGACCCCTCTGCCCGGCTAAGCCCCACTCTTCCCACGGGACGCGGCCCAGACTGCTCTTCCAAGGGGCCCCTGCGCCATCCCTGCAGGTGCGCCTGCACCAACCTGCGCCCGTCCTGATCACCTGTGGTGACTCCTCCTGCTGCTGGTCTCCCCCACTAGGCTGCGGAGCTCCCGGGGCGCCGGGCAGGAGGTGGGGGGCGCTCCATGATTACCTCTTGGGTCAGGAGGGGCACTCCGGGTCGACTCCCTGCAGGACGCCCCCCTCCCGACCCCTCCCAGGGCATCCAGCACGGGACAGTCCCGAGGAAGCGCCAGGCAGGTGCCGCTGACTGCGGGGCGGCGGCTAAGGACAGAGACCCTTTACTTTCAGGCTGATGGACGCGGGGGGCGAACGCTGAGGTCCTCACTTCCCCCTCACCGACCCCAGCCCTGGTCGTGGGCAGGTTGTGTCCCCGGGACCCCAGCTCAGGCCTCGGATGGGAGGCTGAGGCCAGGCCCGACGCAGCGGACGCTCAGCAGTCCGCCCGGCACTCACCGAAGACCTCCTGCGAGTAGCGCTCAGCGCACACGCCGCGGCTCAGCTCCCTCTGGCCCACGCGCACCTTGAGCTGTAGCGGGGCCGCGTCCGCGAAGGGGCAGTCCCGCTTGGGCATCGCCGCGGGCCGGGAGCTACGCTGCTCCGCGGCCGCCAGCCCCTTACCGCCGGCGCCGTGACGTCACAGCCGCGCGCCCATCCGCGGGCGTGAGCGAGTTGGAGGGCGAGGGAGCGACGCGGTGCGCGATAGGCTGCGGGCGAGGTAGGAGGCGGGGCTCCTGTGCAGAGCGGCGCGGGATAGGCCGAGGGTGAGATCGGGGGTGGGACTCGTGCGTCGGTGATCAGAACTGCGCGGCGCGGGAAAGGCCCAGGGGCCAGTTTGAGGCTCAGAGTGGGCGGGTCGGTAGGAGGGATTTGTGCGCACGCGGCTCAGGATAGGCGGGAGGAGAGACTAGGGGCGGGGTTCCTGTGCGGCGCGAAGCGGGGTAGCCTGGGAGACAGGTCGCGGCGGGATTCTACAGTGCGGGAAGAGCCAGCAGGAGAGGCTGAGGGTCAGGACAGAGCCGCGAAGTCGGGGAGAATAAGGGGCGGAGCTTCTGCATCGGGGGCAGGCCTCGTTTGAGGATCGGCGTGGGATAGGCCAGGGCGACATCGGAGGCGGGTCTAGTTTGAGGAACGGCGCGGGATAGGCCGGAGCGACGTCGGGGGCGGGCCGGGTAGGTGGCGGGATTCCTGTCAGCTTTTGTTTGGTTGAACGGGTGGACACTGGTCGTGGTCCTCATTTGCTTCCCCGAAGTTCGGGGCGGCCCGCTTCTTCCTAGTTTTTTCCTTTTAGAGACACGGCCTCGCTCTGTCGCCCAGACTGGACTGCAGTGGCAAAGTCTCGGCTCACGATCCTCCCGCCTCGGCCTCCCGGTAGCTGGGCCCGCAGGCGCGCCCGGCTGACTTTTGGTTTTGGGTGGGAGCGGGGTCTCACTGCGTTGCCCCGGCTGGTCTAGCCGCTCGCCGTGGCGGTCCCCGCCTTCCGGAAGTAAAGGCGTGAGGGGGCGGCCCCGAGGGCTCCCGGGTGCTGCTTGTGTGGAAGATGTTCCTGCGCAGCGGGTCCGTCTGGCTCAGGTCCCCAGGCCGCGCGGTGCAGCCGCGTTGTCCCTTGTCCGGGCTCCGCTCAGCAGGGGCCGCTCTGCTCTGCGCTGCCCCGGCGGGTGCGGAACCGCCGCGTCCCGTGGCGTGGGCTTCGCGCTGGGCTGTGTTCTGGCGGCTCCGTCTGCGCCGCCTCCGGTGTGAGGAGCTGATGCCTGGAGCCCTGCACGCCCGCCCCGCGTGACACCGCCCCTCGTGATGCCACCCCCGTGACGCCCTCCCCGCGTGACGCCCGCCCCCCGTGACGCCCTCCCCGCGTGACGCCCGCCCCGCGTGACGCCTGGAGCCCTGCACACCCGCCCCCTCGTGACGCCCTCCCCGCGTGACGCCACCCCCGTGACGCCCCCGCGTGATGCCACCCCCGCGTGAGGCCTGGAGCCCTGCACACCCGCCCCCTCGTGACGCCCTCCCCGCGTGACGCCCGCCCCCCGTGACGCACTCCCCGCGTGACGCCTGGAGCCCTGCACACCCGCCCCCTCGTGACGCCCTCCCCGCGTGACGCCCGCCCCCCGTGACGCACTCCCCGCGTGACGCCTGGAGCCCTGCACGCCCGTCCCGCGTGACGCCTGGAGCCCTGCAAACCCGTCCCCCGTGACGCCTGGAGCCCTGCACACCTGTCCCCCGTGACGCCCGCCCCGCGTGACGCCTGGAGCCCTGCACACCCCCCCCGTGACGCCCGCCCCGCGTGACGCCTGGAGCCCTGCACACACACCCCCGTGACGCCCTCCCCATGTGACGCCCGCCCCCCGTGACGCCCTCCCCGCGTGACGCCTGGAGCCCTGCACACCCGCCCCCTCGTGACGCCCTCCCCGCGTGACGCCCGCCCCCCCGTGACACCCGCCCCGCGTGACGCCTGGAGCCCTGCACACACACCCCCGTGACGCCCTCCCCGCGTGACGCCTGGAGCCCTGCACACCCGCCCCCTCGTGACGCCCTCCACGCGTGACGCCCGCCCCCCGTGACGCACTCCCCGCGTGACGCCTGGAGCCCTGCACGTCCGTCCCGCGTGACGCCTGGAGCCCTGCAAACCCGTCCCCTGTGACGCCCACCCCCCTGTGACAGCGGCCCCGCGTTACGCCGCTTCCCGTGACGCCTGGAGCCCTGCACACCGCCCCCCCATGACGCCCTCCCCGCGTGACGCCCGCCCCGCGTGACGCCTGGAGCCCTGCACACCTCCCCCCCGTGATGCCCTCCCCGCGTGACGCCTGGAGCCCTGCACACCGCCCTCCGTGACGCCCTCCCCGCGTGACGCCCGCCCCGCGTGACACCTGGAGCCCTGCACACCCCCCCCCGTGACGCCCGCCCCGCGTGACGCCTGGAGCCCTGCACACACCCCCCCCCGTGACGCCCGCCCCGCGTGACGCCTGGAGCCCTGCACACCCCCCCCCGTGACGCCCGCCCCGCGTGACGCCTGGAGCCCTGCACACCCCCCCCCCGTGACGCCCGCCCCGCGTGACGCCTGGAGCCCTGCACACACACCCCCCCCGTGACGCCCGCCCCGCGTGACGCCTGGAGCCCTGCACACCCCCCCCCGTGACGCCCGCCCCGCGTGACGCCTGGAGCCCTGCACCCCCCCCCCCGTGACGCCCGCCCCGCGTGACGCCTGGAGCCCTGCACCCCCCCCCCGTGACGCCCGCCCCGCGTGACGCCTGGAGCCCTGCACACACACCCCCGTGACGCCCGCCCCGCGTGACGCCTGGAGCCCTGCACCCCCCCCCCCGTGACGCCCGCCCCGCGTGACGCCTGGAGCCCTGCACCCCCCCCCCCGTGACGCCCGCCCCGCGTGACGCCTGGAGCCCTGCACACACACCCCCGTGACGCCCGCGTCGCAGCCGCGCAGACACCCTCGGAGGCAGCGCACTCCTTCCGGGCCACGCGGCGGCCTCCGGGTCAGAGGTCCGTTGCCTTCTCCTGCCACGCGCGGTTCCCCGCGGTCGGGGACGGAGGCTGAGTCAGGACGGCCCGGCGTCCCCGCTGGAGTTTGTGCTGTTTTAGGGAAGTGACTTGAAAGTTGCTCAGTTGGAGCCGCTTCTGGCTCGTCCCGGAATTAGACGAAGAGGAGGATCGTTTCCCACGTGGTTTCTGCAGCTGTCCCCGTGTTCGCACCGGAAACTGCGCTCGTCATCTCATCGGGCTCAGATGCGGGACCCGGGGCGGCCTGTGGAGCGCGACGGTGGAAACCCGAATCGTCGCCCGGCTGTCTGCGCTGACCCACGCTCGTGGTCCCCGGGACACGTGGAAGGGACTGAGTTGACCCAGCACAAGTACTTCCCTCCGCGCTGGTGTCTGCTTCCCCCGCACGGCGCCGCCTGCCGGGATTCGATCTTGAGACGGAAGGACACGATGACGACCTGTGTTCCAGCGGAGGAGTTAGCAGCTACTACAAAACAGAGCTTTGAAAACCTGTTGCGAAGCCCCCAAATTTCAATATAAATGATTTGACAGGGGCGGGGGCGGTGGCTCACGCCTGTAATCCCAGCACTTTGGGAGGCCGAGGCGGGTGGATCACCAGGTCAAGAGATCGAGACCATCCTGGTTAACATGGTGAAACCCCGTCTCTACTAAAAATACAAAAAATTAGCCGGGCATGGTGGCGCGTGCCTGTAATCCCAGCTACTCAGGAGGCTGAGGCGGGAGAATTGCCTGAACCCAGGAGGCGGAGGTTGCGGTGAGCCGAGATCGCGCCATTGCACTCCAGCCTGGGTAACAAGAGCGAAACTCCGGCTCAAAAACTAAATAAATAAATAAATGATTTGACTGCGAGGGCCCGGTGTGGGTGTGAGGGCACAGAGGAGGAAGCCCTCAGCCCCTCTCCCCGGGAGCTTACCCTGCCTGGGGGCTCCCCTTTCGTCCCTCTTGCTATGTCATGAAAGGTGACTGTGTAGCTGAGACTCAGGCCGGAGGAAGGACGTGCCCGCGCCTGGGGCAGGGCTGTGCAGTTGCATCGTGTGCCTCCTGTCATGGAGGGCCGTTCTTGGCACTGTCTAGAAAAATTTCCTGGCGTCCCTGGAGCCACAGGGAACGCATCACCCAGCCCTGCCCCTGGGCCCCGCAGGTTGATCTCTCTGTGGGATCCCCGTCTTTGAAAGGATGCTGGAAGGGCAGCTGTTTCTCTGCACTTACTCCAGACCCTGAAAAGATACTGAAGGAGACCACACGTGTTCTGGCGAGCACTGGCCACGTGAGCTCCATGCAGCTGTGGCCAATCAAACGAAATTCTCAGGGCGATGTCCAGGAGTGCAACCAGCATGAAGAGGGGTTGCTGGCAGGGCTCCATCATCGTGCAGGACAAGGAGGGAGTTCCGGGTTAACCCCGGGGGTCCTGCCCAGGTAACAGCACTACAGTGTCATTTGCTTAATGCGTTTAGTTTTTATTTATTTATTTTGAGACTGAGTTTCGCTCTTGTTATCCAGGCTGGAGTGCAATGGCGCCATCTCGGCTCACCGCAACCTCCGCCTCCTGGGTTCAGGCAATTCTCCCGCCTCAGCCTCCTAAGCAGCTGGGATTACAGGCACGCGCCACCGTGCCCTGCTAATTTTTTGTATCTTTAGTAAAGACAGGGTTTCACCATGTTGACCAGGATGGTCTCAATCTCTTGACCTCGTGATCCACCCGCCTCGGCCACCCAAAGTGCTGGGATTACAGGCTTGAGCCACCGCGCCCGGCCGTGTTTAGTTTTTAAAAGCATATTCAATGCACTTGGCCTCTTATTTGGGCTTGTTCCATTTCATTTTCCAGGTAAACACCAGGCTCGGCTTTGTGACCTCAGGGTCCTCAGACTCCTGTCAGGGTGAACCATCGAATTTCAGTGTCTCAAAGCAATAAAGACAAAGCGAAATCAATCATGTAATGACCACTTCATTCAGTGGCCATTGGAGATGTTTATTATGACAGCGCTCCGGCTGGACACGCAACCACGTGACGCTAACGTGTCATAGAAGGTCTCTGCTCTGAGTACTTTGGCTCGTTTTAAATAGCAGAATTTTAAAAAATACACACAAGGCTGGCTTTGCAATGTTTAAAATCATTGTAGCAACCACCAGGTTGGACACAAGTAAAAAAGTTCAGAAACTGGTCTTCCTGCTTTGGTGTTGGCTGTGACGGCCGGGGAACGTGATTGTCACTGTTTACACAAGTCCAGATGCTGCCAGGGACAGTTGGGACCGGCCGCCTGTGACTAAAACAGCTGAATCATCGACTCTCTTGACTTGCCAACACCAACCCATTTGACTGAAAGAGCGAAAAAGTCTGTTACCAGGCACATTGGGCAGAAAGCTCAGAGAAGGTCTGAGTGTCGTGTCTCTATGCGGTTCATGTGGCAGAAGGGGCTCTCTCTCTCCAGATGGAGATGGTTCTCATTTTTAAGTTATGAAGGTAGCAGATGTGGGGGACTGATCTCCTGCCGCCAAAAACAGGAGTCTCTTCCCTTCTCCCTCCCTCCTGCCTCTTGGAAGTGGCAGCCTTGGTTACTTAGTGACTCTCTGTGCGGGCCCTTTCTCTGTCGGTGCAGACGCCCCCGGGCTGTGAGAGTAAACATAGGTAGGATATACTCAAAAGGCCGGGATGTGTCCCACCTGTGGTTCTGGATGCTAAGAGGCCAGGGTTCCCGGCAAGGTCACACCCACACCCTACCTGGGAGCAGCACTGCCCTGAGTCCTCCTCCCCTCTTGCCATCCAGTATATTCACTTGGTGGCCACACTTGGCTTTCTTGTTGCTTGCCAAGCCTTATGCCCTGTGGGCCCCCTTGGGTGCAGGGAGGGTGGCTGGGGAGGCAAGGCACCCACCTGCGACTCCCACGTGATTCTCCACAAATCGGATGTAGTTCTGGGCCTGCGGGGGCAGATCCTCCCATCTCCTGGCACCCGTGGTGTCTGCTTTCCAGCCAGGCAGCGTTTCATATTCCACTTCAACCTTCTGAAGCATCTCCTGGTTAGCTGGGGAAGCACACAGGAGATAAGCGGGGCCCACAGACCTCTCCTGTCACCAGGGAAGCATATTTGGTGACACAGCCACCCCATCCAAGGCGCCCTTGCCAAGGGACTCAGCAGCGGGGAAAGCAGCAAGTGGGCAAGTGGCCCAGTTTGATTTTTCTCCATGTTGGATGACGAGCAGGGGACAGCAGTGAGACTCAGACACTGACTACAAGCCTTCCAGACCAGGGGACAGGACACATTTGTGCTGGCCATTCTGCTAGAACCTCCACTGTGCCATCAGCTGAGGCACTCCAAGCCTTGGCTTGGAAATTCTAGGAGACGCACTAAGGGGTCCCGAAGCATCTGTGTCCTCTCACTCCAAGAGCATCAGCTCCCAGAGGCCAGGGACCACATGCGGGACTCCGTGGCTCACGGTAGAAGCCAACCACCTTTACCGATGGAAGATGCTGGAATGCTGCAAGTGTCTGTGAGCCTCAGAGGCAGGCAGTGTCTACACACCCCTCCCCCCGGACCCTGGACCACCATGAGGAGACCTGAGAGGTCAAGGGTCAGGAGGGTCAGGGACACTGCCTGCAAGGACACAGATCTGCCGAGTGGAGAGCAGCTGGGGCAGCTCGCCCAGGGCGCTGGGGAGGAAGCCATTGCGGGAACAGGGCAGAACATGACCCTGGACTGAGGCTGAGGGGGCACATCCACATGCACATGACACAAATCCGAGAAAATGGCATCTCCTTCATGCTTTCCAGAAGAAGGTGTGCAGGAGCAGGGATCGCGGTTAGGTTTTAAGAAGCTCCCCACAAAGCACACTTTCTCAGATGAAACAGCCGTCCTGTGCGTCCGCATAGCTTTAGGTTTTCCAGGGCAGACCACATCCACCTAACTCCCATTCTCCTCCCGCAGCTCCTGCAGGTGGGCCTTTTCCCCGAGGCAGCTGAAGGTCCCCCAGGGTCCCAGGACAAGTAGTCTGTTCCCCGAGCCATTCCTAAACCACTGGAAGGCACCTGCAGCCACCCTGAGGCCCGGCCAGGCCTCCTGGGGAACGTTGTGGGGAGATGCCCGAGGGAGGCGGAAGCCGTGATGGAGGCTGGTCACCCTGTGTCCTGTGAATGTGGGAACTCACCTCTCATCTCTGAGGAGTCACAGGTCCTGTCTATTCCACTGCCCATGAAAAGGCCCAACAGGCAGAACTGCTGCCCCACTTCACATACCTGGGAAATAGGGAATCCTTTTCCCGTTCAGCTTGTATGAGACGCCAACTTTAATCTCCCCCAGCACGTCCAGGATGTCCAGCTTCGTCAGGGCCAGCCTGTGGAAAGCCAAGGGGCCCCGTAAACCCAAGAAGTGTGGGGTCTCTCCCATGCACTCTTCGCCTGTTATTTAGAGTAGGGTCCCCAGTCCCTGGGCTGCGGACCGGTACTGGTTGGTGGCCTGTTGGAACTGGGCTGCACGGCAGATGAGTGGTGGGCGAGCTGGCGCTACGGCCTGAGCCCCACCTCCTATCAGATCAGGGGCGGCATTCAATTCCCTGGGAGACAGGCTGAACAGCTGGGCAGCCCGGGTCACTGTGTGGGAAGCAGAGGGGCCTGCAGAGTGGATGCCTGGACAGGCCGGCACCCGTGCTCCTGTCCTCTCAGCAGGATGGCAGTGCACTCTTTGTCCTGGGCACCTCTGGTCTCCACAAAAACCATTTTAACCTCTTACAAGTGCCAGGACACCCTCATCTTTCACAGTGTCAGTCCTGGGGGGGTGTCTGTGGCACCTTCCTGTGCTCCCAGGGCTGGCGCCACCACACCCTGCAGGCCTCCACACTGCTAAACCCTGGGCCGTCGTTTGTGGAAGCGTCGAGATCACTGGGAGACCTTGTCCAAGGAGACGTGGTGGCCCTCAGGCCCTGTGTCAAGCGCTGCTTGCCGCCGCAGGTGTTGGGAGCTAGGGGCGGTCCCAGTGGGGATGGCAGGCATGGGTGGCTTACGCAGTGAATCCGTTGACCATATGAGCGTATCTCAGAATCATCAGGTCGAGCCAGCCACAGCGCCTCTTCCTGCCTGTGGTCACCCCCCACTCGTGGCCACGACTCTGCAGCAGGTCTCCGATCTCCTACATGAGAACACGGCGACGGCGGACGTCAGGCGGACTGTGATGGGAGCCGTGTGCTGCCTGGCCCTGTGGCTCCCCCTCCTCCTCTCATGTGGCTCTGGGGAATCCCTGAGGCTGCCCGCCCCTGCCGACAGTCCTCATGCCCAGCTCCCCGACATCCCCATGCCCCTGGTAAGCCTGTTCGGCAGCTAAAGCTCACACTCGGCAGGGCCCACCAGTGCCACTAGTGCCACCCAAGCCAGCAAGTGGTCTTTCTGAGCATACCAGACCACTGGGCTTTGTGAGCTGGGGAAGGAGGGCAGCTAGGAGAGGTGGGCTGGCCCTGCGGCTTGGCTTTGGGGGTCACAGGTGTGTGTATCTCCTGACACCGATCTATGTACCCCCTCAATCCTCTCTGGATGGTGTCCGCCCCTCCTCGTGTTGGACCTCCCAGCACCTGCCCTTCCTCCTGCTCAGGCATGAGGGCCATGTCCCTGCCCTACCAAGGGTCACAGGGTGAGGCTGAGAGAGGAAGGCTGGGGCCTCCTGAGGATTCTGGGGCCACAAAAGTTTGAAACCTTCCTGAGGCTGGAGGGCTGGGCAGGGTTTCGAGGGTTGGCTTTCAGCCCTAATTCTAGCTTGGCTGTGACAGAGGACCCCCCCCAACCTGGGGGCAAGGGCGAGGGAAGGTGCTTAGTGACCTCTCTGAGCCAAGGTGAGTCCACCAGCTACCCCAAATGAAGGCATCCTGAGGAGCTGCAAGGCGCCCCCACTTGCCCATGGGCCTCACACACAGGGGACAAGGTCATGTGTACGTGTGAGCATGTGCACACCCTGCATAAGCGCACATGCTGCTGTGGGAAGAGGCCAGCCCCCAGAACTCTTACTAAGCCCCACCTTGGTCTTTTCGGCAGGAAGGGCCCTGCTAGGAGATGGGGAAATGGCACTGGCCAGGTCCCCACAGCCCCCACCCTGGCACTGCTCACCCCACCCCTGGCACCCCCGTCTGGCCTCCATGTCCTCCCATGGGGTCCTGAGGGGCTGGGACTCACGTTGATCTGCTCGGTGGGGAAGGCCCCGATGCCCACACGTGTGGTGTAGGCCTTGACCACGCCATACACGTCACCTATGTTCTGTGGGGGGATGCCCAGGCCCGTGCACACGCCGCCCACAGTGCAGTTGGAAGAAGTCACAAAGGGGTAGGTCCCTGCAAGACAGACCAGGTTACGTGGCTACCTGTCACCCCTGTAGATTACTCCACCCGGCCCAGAGACCCTCTCAGTAAAGGGAACGGGCAGTCCAAACCCGCTGTACGTCCCCTCCGTGGGGGTCTCCAGCCTGGCCCGTCCTGGGGGAATGGCTGAATGGGGTGCTGTGTGCTGGGCCATGTGGCTCACATGTGAGTGTGGGGTAAGGGGAGGAAGCTGCCCACAGTGAGGCCTGAGGTGGCCAGGCCACCTAGGTGGTGAGGGTAAGCTGGTACGCCCGTGGAGGTGAGGACGGATGGCTGTACAGACCGTCGGAAGGGCTGGCTCTGAGCCACCTTGCCCGGCTCCCTGGCCCCATCCCTGACCTCCTCACCCTGTCCTTTCATCTCTAGCCCAGCCCCTTCTGCTCTCCACTCCCTTGCTAACAATAGGAACACCAAGGACAGGAAGGTGGGCCTGCCCGTCACTCCCCTGTCCGTTCCCATGGCGCTCAGCAGCTGGCTCTTCCCTGGCAGGCATGAAGGTTTGCTGGCACGCACACCCTGCTGGACATACCGAAGTCAATGTCGAGAAGGGCGGCATTGGCACCCTCCACCAGGATCTTCTTGGGGGGGCCGTGGAGTGCCTCGTACATAAAGTAAACACCGTCTCGGACCATGGGTCTGATCCTCTCAGCAAAACCCTGCAAGGACCAAGTGGCACAGTGAGCCTGGGGCCTGGGCAGAGGAGGCCCGAGGTCCCCGAGAAGGTCGGCCAGCCCATAGCAATGCCTAGAAACGGTGCGCTCCCAGGGCACCAGGTGGGACTGCCGGCCTCCCTGGAGGGGCACTTCCGCGGCCCCGGCTTCACCTTGAGCC